GTAAGGTCAACGCGCCGTTCATGATGCCGATCAGCGCCAAGTACCGTGACATGGGTACTATGGCAGAGGGTCGCATTGAGTCCGGTATCATTAAGAAGAGTGGTACTTATCTCATGATGCCTAACCGTGAGGAGGTTCAAATCTCTGCTATGTACGGTGAAACAGAAGAAGAGATTCCGACCGCCAAAGTTGGTGACCAGATTCGCCTGCGTCTCCGTGGTATCGAAGAAGAAGATTTCTTCCCTGGTTTCGTGCTCTGCTCACCTAAGCGCCCCGTTCACTGCGTATCTGCTTTCGAGGCTAAGATTCGTATCTTGGATCTGAAGAGCATTCTGACAGCCGGTTTCAACTGCGTCCTGCACGTCCACTCCGCTGTCGAGGAGGTTACTTTCGCCGCTCTCCTTCACAAGCTCGAGCCCGGCACCGGCCGCAAGAGCAAGCGTCCTCCTCAGTTTGCCAGCAGGGGCCAGACCATTATTGCCCGTCTGGAGGTTACCAGCAGCGCCGGTGCGGTTTGTGTCGAGACATACGAAGAATACAACCAATTAGGTCGTTTCACTCTGCGTGATCAGGTATGTCTTCTCCACACTTTTTTCTTAATATTGTTTCCTAACGTATCGTTTCTAGGGTCAAACCATTGCTATTGGTATGATTACCAAGCTCATCACTCCCGAGACCGAGGCCCAGTAAAGTGATTTTGCCACTGAGGGTGCCTGAATGTCTATATTCTCAAAAGTGCAACGAATCACAAAATAAAAGCAATGTGCTTGTGAGAAAATCCGAACAGGGAGGTACGGGTGGGCAGAGGTCGCGTAATGATACCACAGACAGTCCACAACTGATGATGATGAACATTTCTTTTTTCTACATCCTTTCCGCATATAGACTTTGCTCCATCTAATGAATCCAAGCGGTTGAACCGTATATGGGTTCTTGGGTTATCCCCAGTGATATTGGGAGTAGCTTATGCGAGCCAGATCTGATGAACGATCAATCATGGTAATAAATGCAAATATGTAAACAGAAAGGATATCTATCCGACGGGTTTCCTGTCGTTACCAAGGCAAATCGGAAATAAAACAAAACGTATTCAACAAAAGCCCCAGTCTACCTCCTCTTTCCAACAACCTTCGTAAACCCATCATCGTCAATCTCAGGCTCAGCCCGCTCCCTTGGAGCCCGCACCAACTCAGGCGCCTCACCCATCTCAGTATCCTCTTCCTCACTCTCATCGTCCGTCTCCTGATCCTCATCTGCAGTCTCAACCCTCTGGAACTGACTCGCAGCAGAGCGATTTTGGCTCTTCTTGTGGAACTTCTCCAACATCTGCTGGATAGTGCCGAACTCGCCTCGATCCGTCTGCGTCTTTAGCTCCATGATCATGTCCGCGACGTCCGCAGCGCTCTCGTCGTCCACCGCCACGTCAAACTCGTCGTTCATCACTTGGACGAGCACTTCCTCCAGGTCCACGGCGTCGGTCTCGGGTCGATCGGCCAGCATCTCGGAGATAGCGCCGCAAAGCCAGTCCCGCTTCTCGTTTGAGTTGGCACCGCCCCAGTTTGACTGCACGGCTAGTGAAAGGGCCGGCCAATTGTGGAGTGTGAGAGTGATCGCAAGGTCGAGGTAAGAGGCAGCATCTGTGGCCGGTTGGACGGTTGAAATTGTCGCCATTTTGGAGGGTTAAGTTTATATGGTTGTTGGACCTAAGGTGCGTTTGCGATTCTTTTTTTTTTTTTTTGGGCACGACTGATAGCACCCCGCGGTCTCGGTGGAGAAAAAGACTGACTTGCTGATGGAATGGGCAACTTAGGTTTGTGATAATGATGGAAACAGTCTCTTTGTCTTCTTGGGTCTCTTCGCAATCGGTCGCACTGTAGCGCAATTGAGTTCTCTTAATACTGTTATGTATATGGAAGTTTTTTTTTTTAAAAAAAAAAGAAATAATCCGATTAGATATTATATAGTCATGTGACCCGAACTCTTGGCAATATTGCCTCCAAGGTTTTTCGAGCTTCCTTCCAATAACATATGTTGGAGAATATTGTGCGATTGAGTTGAAATAATAAAAAAAAGGAAAATCTCCGATAGGGGGAATCGAACCCCCGGCTGCCGTGTGAGAGACGGCGATGTTAGCCACTACACCATATCGGAGGGGGACTGCGAATTACTCTCTTAAGTTTATTTGTGACCTCTTGGGTTTAGCGCTCTCTGTCCGTGTGTGTTTCCGTGTGTGGTTCAAGTCCCTTGCTCTTCCCCTTCCATCCAACAACCCCGATTTTCTTTTTCGCCTTCCTTTCTCCTACGCCTCGCAGGTGAGGCATTTTTGCCGTTGGCCTGGAATCACCGAGCTCCTGAGCACCGCTATCCCCTTCTCCCAATAGGACGTAAAAATGGGATAGACCCACGTCAAGATGAGATTCGGGGAGATATGGAGTGAAAGTCTATACATTCAAGACCTGCTGCCAAGTATTCAACAGAGGTGAATTTCCCCATTTCGCATCAAATCATACGGATTCTACATATTATGAGTGAATCAAGATGCCGAATATATCTGGTGGTGCCCACTGGGTTGGTGGTCCGCATATCAATCGATCATTTCCTAATGCAGATTAGACTCGGATATTAGCCAATGGCAGGCTACAATGCAGCCGAGAGCCTCTACTCCGTACGTCGTACTTCTTGCTGGGGGCCGCCCCCGATGTTTTGGCACCAAAATGTAAGAGTAAAGAAAAAAAGGCCCGTGTGTTCCTTTAGTCGATGGTGGCGTGGTCCCTGGTGGTGCCGATCAACCGCCCCTACCCTGCTAAAGTGGGTATGCTTCCAGGTCGAAATCTTAAAAGAGTTGGGGCCAGTTGTGAGGTATGAAATAGACCAGACTAATTCCGCTTCAATGTATAATGTACAATTTATCCTAACAGGGCCATAGCGAGGTGTGGCAACGCTTAGTTCAAATGTGTCTATAAATGCCACTATATGTCAAGTTCGAATGATGCGAGGATAGAAGAACATAGTGTCTAGTCCTGAGGGGAGAAATGTAATAAGGCCAATCACACTTTCGACCATGCTTTTCAAAAAAGAATGGTAGGCGGTGAGTCTCAAGATAAACCTGAAGTACATCCTAGGAAGAGCTAGTCCTAATTAGGCAGTACAACTATTAAATCAGGCATGCGACGTTCTGCACCTTCGTAGCCATTGGTCCGTGTGCGTGCCCGTGCGTGGTTGTATATAATCCCTCCCTCGAGTGCAATCTACGCTGCTTTCGCTCGCCCAGCCCCGTTTTACCTCAGCTTTCACCATCAACGTCAGATGAGACATTTTTGCCCCTTGGCTTACTACGCCGAATACTGATCTGTCGCCTCTCTTATCAATCGGTCGGTCAATTGCCGAACTTCCGCGAAAGGTTGGACGTTTGCAATGGTTGTAGAACCGAGCAGCTATATAGACAGGTTACCTTTCACTTTTACACCTGCTTCTTCTTTCTCCCTTCGTCTTAGGCATCATAAATAGTATGCACATTTTAATTATTATATAGATCTGGCACATCACAGGCATTACTCTAGAGGTCACTTTCGAAAACGCTGTCTCGGAAAGCCTAGGTTACATGTACTCTTCAATGGTCTATCTAATTCATCCCTTAATTCAAAGCCCCGACAGCTGAAGCGCTAAATTTAGTAACTTTCTAGTAATTCGGACGAGTTTCCAAAGGAATTGATTAATAAACGCATTCACAGACAGAACAGTAAGACAGACCAAGGAGAATAGACTAAGAACAAATTGAGAAAACAAAAAAAGATATATCTCTATGATAAGCAATGCATATACATACACAGAGAAAATCTTCAAAGGCACATCGTTACGACTTCTTGGATTTAGTCAAATAGATTAAGCGACCACCATTGGCATCTTCGATTGGCAGCCGGGTCACAAGAAATTGTGACATTATCGTCGGACAGACGCACAGTCTTGGCTTAGGAAGCGAACGTAGGTATCGAGCTCAGACTAGCGACGTAGCTGTTTGGGATACCGTCTTTTACAAAAGAGAGGATGTAGTCCTGTATGATAAATGCAATAGTCTGGTTCACAGCACCAGTGTCAACTAGACTATAAGATAAAGTCTTCTGATTTGGAGTATAGAAGGTGTATTAGATATCCTGTACATGGATTCCCGGCCATACGTCGAAAAAATGGGTAAAGGAACCGTTATTAAAGGCGAAATTCAACACTGCCGCATTACAGTCCATGAAGATATCGCCCACCGTCAATGCCGCTCTCTGGTAGTCATTGGTATACCCCTTAGACCCATCAAACACAGGCGGACAGAGGGACTTAGTAATATGATCGATAGTAGAGCTGTTAGTATAAGTGAGAATATATTTGACGAGCGTCTCATATTCCTCATTTGTATACACCGTTAGCACCAAAACCAGACCCTCATCTAAGCTATAGGAAATCAAAGCCTTTACAGATTGGTCGTACTTTCCACAACGGATCAGCTCCTTAGGGTCTGCCTTCACAAGACTGCCATCCGGTGTAGGGCCATACATAGCCGAAGTGTACGGCTGTGAGACACCGATTTAGTTTACATTCGCCGAAACTAAAACATCAGAAAGAAGCTCTCGAGCTTCAGTCAGCAACTTGACGTTCGCCTAGCCGAGGTAATCTTAGAAAGTCCTTTCTTGGTTTTCGAGCGACCTATATAGGAAATAGGCATAAGACTGTGGCATAGCCCGGTTAAAGAGGGCTGGTGCTACCCCTCCGTGTACAGTGATATGATACATAATAGAACCACCGCCTGCAGATTCCCCAAAGACAGTGACTTATTTCTTATCTCCCCCAAAGCGATAGATATTGTTCTAGATCCACTGCAAGGCAAGTCGCTGATCGTAAAGTCCGGCGTTGAGTACACCACCTTCCACTTCGAATGAGGGCCCAGATAAGAAGCCAAATGCACCTAGCTGGTAGTTAAGAGCAACATATACCACGCCCTCTAAGCCACCGGCTTAGCTGCGATCAATCAAGCCCTTAGGTGATCCAAAAGACGTCATAGACCCGGCAGTAAAGCCTCCGCCTTAGTCAATTAGCATTTCTCATTAATGAAGAATAGTAGGTGATTACCATGAATCCAAACAAGAACAGGTAACAATCTTCTATTCTTCTGGCAGTTATTAAATATTTTGCGAGGCACTTGGACATCCGAAAACAGACAGTCCTCCTCTCCACCGGCGGAGATCGCGGACAAGTCGCTGTAAGAGACATTAGGGAAATTCCCAGTCTTCAAATACTCGTTTATGTATTGTGAGGTACGTAACTGCCAACTGCTTATTCCATAGGGACAGGAAATCGACTCTGGGTTGGACTGGATGACCGATCGGTTGGTTAGGGGTAACATAGGAGCTTTCCAGCGAAGGTTACCAACCGGGGGAGCGGCATATCGGATGTTAGAGAAGCTGTAATGACTATCGGAATGCTTGACTTATCATTAGATTTTGTTGAAGCAAGCAGTTTGAAATCGCAGCATGGTAGGATCTTATATTATTCGCTCCGGTCGCCTGGTAGATCTCATAGCCTAGATCCACTATAGGCTGTTCCTTTTTGGCGCAGTCAGCGTGAACTGCAACTAGCATACAACCCAACTATAAAGTTTGTTTAACTCCAACCATTGTTGGTCGCAATTACATAGGTTCTTTAGGGAAGGCTCTGACCCCCCCGGCCGGTGTATTTATATTTGGACTAGCTGGAGAATGATGGCAAGAGCTAAGCCGAAAATTCCCTATGTGGAACTCATGACGAATTTATCTCGTTTAACGGTACGAAAAGGGGCAATTTATAATTGTCAGAGGCCAATTCTTGACCATGAAGGCCGAACATGAATACGTGTGTACAAGAGGATCTGCACGAAATCATGCTTGGCCCACTTGACCCGAGAACGAATACACGTATAGAGATTTGCCCCTTAACTTTCATTACATCCGCCAGTGGCATACAGAATTAAAAAGCACGTCTCCAGCATTTTTCCAAGTAGGTAACTGTAGCAGAAAGTACCTGAGTAGCAGAAACATAATTCACGGACTTTATACCATTGCTCCCATCTCGTTCAAATTGACCCTTCCAGGAACATGCGAACATGCGTATACCTCGCTGGGAAACCTGACTCCAAATGTCACCATCACTATCCACATGAGAGTCGCGTCGAATACATATGCCGGCCACTCATTTTGTAGCAGGTATCCATCATTACCCATAATGTACTCTGCAACTCTGAATATAGACCGGACCATGATCAACAGACTGACTAGGTACAGGGTATTGAGGTGCCACTTCCATCGTAAATCTTCAGAAAAGACCTCGTGCGTTGGGTGTCTATGAATTCGGACCTGAAACATCACCATGCTAACAATGAAGAATCCGAGGAAAGCGACCTGGACAATCAGACCAAGAATGACAAGCTTATTTCCGATGCTAGCAAGGTCACTGGAGATCATCATGCCAGCGGCACCGCCCTGGATTAAAAAAGACAAGACATCGCCGGTGACAAAGAGCTTGGTCAACCAGCGAACGGGTATAAGTGAATGTCTTTCACCCTTGACTGCAGTAATAATTCGGCCCAAAACCATGTAAATCGAGGCAGCGAAGAGGGCAGGGCCGAGTAGTATGAAGACATTCTGGATGCAAAAGGGCATCATTCGCCCAGTCTTGTCATAAGCTGACGTTCGAGCACAGTAACCTATGAACTCAACTGGTATTATTAGCATGTCTCAGTCTCTATGAGCTAATAGTAAATGTCCAAGTGTACCTACAGAAGCCCCCAATGGCAAAGCAAATGCAGAAATAGGTCTTCAGTTTCCATATTTTCCAGGTGTGATATGCAGTCGCCGCTAGGAAGAGCAAGAGAAAAATAACCGCTGCTGCCCTCGAGGGGACGTAATGCCAAAGATAATAACCCTTGTACGTTTGAAGTTCGGGCATTGTGTGTGTCAGGAGCGCGGGTTGGTACTGAGTGAGGAATTGCGAGCTGGCGTCTTTGGTTGAATGATAATATAAGATTGTGATTAGGGTTGAAATGTTGGGAATTGAATACTTATACTCTAAGGTATGAGCTCAGCAGATAATATACTCGGGCAAGGATGCGAAAAATGACAAATATCCACTACAGGGCATTGTCTATCGTAACTATTATTAGACCTGCATCCCATGAGGAGATTCCTACATACTGTCTCTATATACGCGTATCCGGTACCAGATAGAGAGCAATCTTCTATGGTCATTAACTAATATACGGATACGGAGTGCAGCTAACGTACCCTTACTGAAGAAAGTTCGACAACATAATTAAGGGACGCGATGTTTTCCTATTATTGCATATTATAGTAGTAATAAAGATACCTGAAGTCCGACGTGGATTGGCTTATACCGTAGGTTCTAGTATTAAAGATTCTAAACTGAACCGGAATCCTTAATCGAGGGGAAGCCGTCTCTAGAACCTGTGGCAACGCGAGTTGATAATGGTGGCTCGTGCATACGCGAGTAAAAGCTTTCCTTGAAGATATATTCCACATATGCTCCACCCATTCTAGTGTGGGTCATACATATTGCCACAACAAGCTAGAACTGAGAGAGAAATTCGCGTATGCACGGGCCATCATACGCTGCCATCATTTCAGAGCCCAATCTTAATAATACTCTGGAGTATATTCCCAATCTCAACAACCAACCAATTCCGTCTCGCTTTTGTTGAATTCGTGCCATCGATTCTTTCCGAAATTTAAAATACCCTAGGCCCCTATTATAAGAGTTAACGATAGAGACATTAGGTTGTTGATTCAGCTAAGACTTGATTCGGCCAGTGCAGCCATTCTGCCCACTCCGGCCCAAGATACCGGTCGATAGACTGGATTAAGAAACTGCCACCGTCACCAAAAACCCACAGATCACGACAGGAGTGCAGAAGAGCTGCATAATGCGCTAGAATAACGAGTGCTTCCGGCCTACGGTGCACTAGCATTTCGGTATATTCCAAAGAAACAATGATTGGCCAAGCGATGACAGCATTAATATTATCGACGGCCCTATCAGATTGTGCGGCATTGAGTGATGATTGTAAAGCCTCAATCGCTTGCTCATAGGTTTCACTGATTGAAGGGCCTAGCCTGGCGGCTTTGATAAGTTCAAGAAGGCAGCTGCACGCCTGTCCGTCCCTCGTAGAATTCCGCAGGCTTGCCTCAGCTTCGTTCAGAATCGGCTTGAGTGCCGTCTCTTTGATCTGATTCCAATCTTCTCCAATGACTGCGCGTACTCCGCGGTGGATACGGAGATAGTGGACGAACCGATCTAGAAGCGCTTGAAAATCATGGTCTCGATATACCAGGGTGTCGCATAGAATATGAATACCCAGCATAGATGAGAATATGAATGCAGGTACCGTTGGCCTCATGCCGAGTTCCGAGTCGGTCTCATGGAACATCCGAAGTGCATGATTCTGTAACTGCGCCGAGTGGTGTCTATACAATTCTTCCTGAGGCTCGCGAATGATACTAAGGTGTAAAGCAGCGAGGGCAAGTAGCTCATTCATCAGGTAGGGAGCAGATAGGGCGTGGCCTATCACTTCTTTATGTAAAAGGATTAGGTTGTTTTCACCCTTGCTCAGGGAAGGCAGCGTTTCTGTAGACAGATGGTAGAGCAGCTCAGCATGAAGCATATTGACAGGCGGATCTGGCTGGATAGAAGAAGTAGAATCTGGTGGCAGCTTGGTACTGGGCGATTCGGTTGATACTGATGGGGAGATTGTCCTCTTTCTGCTCCTCCCACTGGCCTGCATGACTTTGATCGTCATTTCGGGATATTCACATAACCGTTCTGAAGATATGCAGTTTGAGCAGATTGGCCCTTTTTCATCGCACTGTATACAGTTAGGATCTTGTCTCAACAACAATAGAAGTTCTTTACCTTGATGTGGCGGCGCTTACATTCGACGCAGCCATTCCGCGACTTCTTATGCGTCCTCCGCGGCATCTGTGCAGTGGTGGTTTATCGCTAAGGAACATAGAGTATGCCTGAGAGCGGGGGCTATGTATAGTTGCTGGCTCCAATAGGAAGCCCACTCCTTAAAAATCGGTTAAGAAGCTCAAAAGAAATAAGTAGAATTCAAGGAACACAAAATCCTGCCTCGTAGTATTGTTACTGTATTATCGTAACTTATCACATGATCCACCGAAATCGGTTTAAATTCGGATTTTGCCCTTCTGACTAATATCCTGGCACCAACGATTAGTAAGCAAGAATGCACGAACAAAAGTCACATGAGCGGTCTGTAAAAAGACATATAATTAAAGCAGTGGTATCAAATCTTAGTCCTTGACATACACGTATAGACGATTTGAGACCCACTCACTAAGGACAGCAGAGTTCTGCGGTTTCACTGTGGATCACCAGACCTTAGTACAATGCCTAGCGCGAGAATCTTTTTTTGGTCAGAACACAGGGCTGTGTGGGTTGGTCCTAGCGGGTTTCCGTGCATACGCGTATACAAGATCACAGTCAAACGGGATTGTTGTCACTATGGGAATGTATGCGCCCGGAAGGCAGGCAACTTAATTTCAAGTCATGGTATATATATGAATTGACATTGTCAGCCCGTCGCGAAAACCTCAACTCATGTTAAATTATCGATATGAATATGAAGATGGCGGTCTTCTCCCGCACCTTGCTCTCCCTGAGCGCTATTTTTGTTGAGATAGCGTCCGCTTCCAGATGTTCGCCAAGCTTGATCGAGAAGCCAAAATTGTCTGGTACTTCAATCCTCGATGTTCAAGCCCAGGAAGCCCTCAACTTTTCTGCCGTTAGCCTTGGACCAGGGACTAACGAAGGCGGCCGATATACAATCAGCTTCTGCAATGTTACCGTTACCCACACACATCCTGGCTGGAATGACACAATTACTACTCAAGTATGGCTCCCACTTGAGGGATGGAATGGAAGGTTTCAAGGCTTAGGTGGCGGAGGCTACGCTACAGGCTTTGGCGAAACTTACCTAACATACGCTGTGTCGCGAGGATTCGCATCTGCCTCTACGAATGGAGGCCTACCTGTGGCGAATGGGAAAGATACTATACCTACAGACCTGTCATGGGCTCTGAACAGCGAAAACAATGTGAACTGGTTCTTCCTAGAGGATTACGCATCGAAGGCAACGAACGACATGGCTGTGATTGGACAGCAGATCACCAAATCCTACTACAAAAAACCCGCAAACTATTCATATTTTGCCGGATGCTCTGGTGGTGGAAGGCAGGGCCTCTTGATGGCACAGAAGTACCCGGACGTTTTTGATGGCATTTTAGCCGTCGCTCCGGCCCTTGATATACAACGTTTCATCCCTGCAGGCTTCTGGGCCTCACAAGTCATGAACCAACTTGGAGTTTATCCATCGCCCTGTGAGGTCAATGCTTTCACGGAAGCAGCCGTGAAGGCTTGCGATCGACTAGATGGGGTTGAAGACGGCATCATTAGCTCCCCAGATCACTGTCACGTCAAGGCTGCCGACTTTGTTGGGATGAGCTACACTTGCGACAGCATTCGGAAAACCTTCAGTGCTTCCAGCGCGGAAGTTATCCAAGCGGCTTGGTCCGGTTCTCGCTCTATCTCAAAGCACGATGGCTGGTACGGGGTCAACAAGGATGCAGCGCTCGGCACTGCCTATGTGCCTACCGCATGCTCTGCGAAAAACGCATGTTACTCTTTTGGAAGCGACTTGTTTGGCAACTGGCTCAAGTATCTTGTTGCTAAGGACTCGACCTTTTCAACCAGCAATATGACTCAGGAGGAGTTCTTCAAAGGCCTACGCTCTTCAAACGTTGATTATTCAGGGATGCTAGGAACGAATGACCCTGATCTCTCCAACTTCAAGGCAAAAGGTGGCAAAATGATCACTTGGCAGGGAATGGCAGACGAAGCTATTCCACCGCTTGGGACTATTGCCTACTATGAGGAAGTGCTGAAGAACGACCCAAAAGCTCAGGACTTCTATCGCTTCTTCGAAGCACCTGGTGTTGGTCACTGTTACGGTGGACCCGGGCCTATTCCGAACGGAGCAATGTCCCAACTGGTTGAATGGGTCGAGAACGGACATGCCCCTGTTGTTCTGCATGCCACCAAAGGTAGCAACAATACAGCCAGAGACCTTTGCCCATATCCTCTTCGGCAAAAGTACGTTGGAGGAGATTCTAGAAATGCGACCTCTTTCACCTGCACCAAATAAAGTTTTCCTTTTGAAGATTTGACCTGGTCAGACCAATAATCTATAGAACTTATTAGCAAGCTTCCAGTTTGGGCCCTTAAATGAACTTTTTTCTTCGTGCCTCCTACCCATCACATTACTCCGTCCAGAAGTGAACTGAAGCAACCCTAATAAATAAATCCCAAAGCTCGGGCGATTGTAGCATTAGTATACCCATATGATAGTAACGATACCTACCTTGAAAAGGCTATTTAGCAAAACTTTTAGAATAATATAATACATCTTCCACGTTTTGGTAGGCAACGCAAATTTTCTACTTAGGGTCTTCCGCAGAAGCATTGTCTCGCTGCTTCCAATTGAATCGGAATCTACCACCCTAAATTAGCTCGAATTTCGCCGGGTAAGCTATCTGATTGAAGACTTAATCTTCTCATCTAAGCTGAAACACCATGTGAGCAGCCAGTATATATCGCAGAATCGCTACGTGCCAAAAGCCATGATCCTAGGTACAAATGCCTATTGAGGGTTCGTAAGACAATTTCGATCTATTTTTTTTGGCTTGTAGGCATCGGGCCAACATTGTGGAAGAAAAGTATGCGCCCCAGACGATAACAATGAGGGTGTAGATAATGATGACAGTCCCTATAGGAATAGTGGTAAATTTCCATATGGCAATAGTCCCTTTTTGGATCGAGGTGCCCCAAGACACTTTTGGCGTGTTTGTTCTGAACGAGATACGTCCTGTCTGTCACTGTACCTTTCTTCCAAATTCTCAAGCTCGATGGAAGGTACAGTTTCCTGAGAATCGGTATCTCGTCTACTATATCTTGCATGTTGACTCGACGCAAAATCATCGGAGTCACAACCAACGGCAGCGATCATATCGTGAGCACCTTGAGGCTGCCTCTGAGCCATCAGCTTTCCACCGGCCAGCTGCCCATGACCCCATCTCTTGGCTACTCCCCAGACATTGCACCGAAGACGTTCGCAGTTGGTGGTGCTGTATTGTTGCTGCCGGACTATCAGATCCTCGCCCTCATCTCTTTTACTTCTTACATGGAGCAGTCCAAAGACACTTAATTTGCCCGCAAGCACTGAACTGAGTGGAAGGCTGCCGTCAATTGGTTTGCGGTATATCGTAAAGATTCTACTGAACTCATTGACTTTTCGCAGTTCGGCAATGCCTTTCTGGGTCCCACCAGTTGCTCAGCCGTCAATGCCGCCTCTGTCGACGCATTCAAGGACACGGCCTCTATTGCTTCACCCGTCGGAGATGTTTCATCTGCTAAGAAGTGGGCTGGAATTGTGACGTGCCAGGTCTTGCAAAGATAGAACTTGAAGAGTGCATTAATTCAGAATAACTAAGATAGGGAGGAAGAAGAAGCAAGTTGCAAAGTGGAAAGCAGATAGTGAAGAGGGAAATGCACGATGGGCAGCCTGGCCATGCAGGCAAGACGAGGACGACACAACAATACCAACCATCCAGGGGGGTCAGCTAGCAAGCATAGGGATCACATAGACCACACCATAGCATATAATTTCCTAGTACACAAACATCTCGCAACTCGTTTTTCATTCTTGGGGTGATGATCCGTCTAGACTACTTGCTCCCCGAAACTCTACTTGACAACCAGGCTTTCGTTTTCTCTGCCTGAAGGACAAGGCCACTAAACTAGGCATCCCGACTCTCCCCACTGCAATAGTTAATATAGCTGCTACTTTTCAAACAATGCAAATTTCGAATCATCTCGCTGAACTATCTAGCAAACAATCTAGCTAAAGCAAGCAAGCAAAAAGAGTATGACGAGTGGATCGTAACAATCAGGGGGAGAGGGAGGGGACAAAACCTACACTCTACGCAGCAGGTTCGTGCCTGCTGAATCCGAACTATGTTATGGTAATTACCTAGAGTACGTCTATAGCTTCCTTTTCTATAGAGACGAGCCGGTCAGCCAATCAAAGTTTATCAGCCAAGTGAAGAAAGTAAATAAGGAAGTAGGTGTTTAATTTCATCTTGCATGGCTGCCTATTCCAGCCGATATCACTAGCTTTTTACCTTACGTTCATCAATTGAGCTAGTAAGTTTCTCTTAGGTTTCTCTTACTTTTCTCTTACTTTTCTCTTACTTTTCTATTGCTCTCACTTTGTTCTGACTCTTTTGAGGAAAAAGAAAATTCCTCCCGGGACACAATTAGGCTGGCCACTTTTCGATGGGGCGTAATCCTGACCCTTTTGGTCTAGCGCCCTTAGTCCTGATGTGTTCCCGTGTTCCCGTGCGTGGTTCTATTAAACCCCCATTTAACCGTAATACACCCCATCATCTTCTGCATCAATCTTTTCCCAGGACATTCTCATCTCGTCAAGATCGCACATCATCAACCATAGATCCCATAGTAGCAGCGAACGACATTTCATCCATCCCGGAAAGGTGTCATATTGATCGATTTCAGGCCACGCTTCGAGGACCTTCGCTTAAAGCACTGTCTTGTATCTTTCGTTATTGGTGTCCTGCTCTAAGGTTTCCACCGAAGTGCCTAACAGCGTCTGTAGGCATTCCTTATCAATGAGCATATACATTCGATATTTATTGAATTTATCGCGCTGACCCTATATATCGACCCAGGCCAAAGTAAGCGCGTATTGTATCAAGCGAGGCACCGTCGAATTGCGCCGCATCTTCTATAATGGTTGAACTATATTGCGCCTAGATTCCCTAGTAAAGGGCGGGATTTACCCCGGGTGGCGACTTATTATTCCATTTGTATTCCCCGAAGAATGACCTTTTGATACAAGCTTCAAGATACTTGACGACAGTAGAGAAGGGGGAGTCAGATTGAGGGGAATAGGTGGTGCGATAGATAATATATCCCCAAGTCCAATGAGCTTTAGTTTATTATATAGCTCCTTTGTAGGTGCAGGTAGAGGAGCGAAAGAAGCGAAAGAAGCGAAACCCATCTTATGAAAGTTTGAAGAAAGGCAAGGATGAGATGTCCCAAAAGATTCCCAAGGAGAAGAAGGGACAAAGAGCTATCGACTTTAGGCGGTCGGTCTAACCATTAGTCCGGAAGCCCATTTCCAACACGACCGGTTACGGACTGCTCCTAGCTTCAAGTCCAACTGCCACCTTATATCTGATCTCTCTTCACCTGCGCATCTATAGCTAGCTCATGGTATTGCTTTCAGGGGGCCACCTGGAAGATGCCATAACGTTTATACTTCAATGTTCTGATCCTCGGCATCTTAAGTTATTTTACTAAGGTATCTAGAGCTTTGACTCCTTCTATGGTTCTTTAGATAATAAATACAGCGTTTAATTGAGTGAATGGCTCCATCTCAAGATAATAACTTCAGACTTTCGGGCCTCCATATAGGGCAGTAAAAAGAAAAGCAAACAAGTAAACACCTAGGTATACTATGCCTAAGGGCGAAGGTCTAGCTTTATAAAAACTTAATTCTATCTGTGAAGGCTGGCTCGTCTGAGTCAGAGTTAGAGGCCTCCTCCTCCTCATTATCATTACCTGGAGGTTCTTTGTTCGACGCAATCATGGCCTGATATATATCCTCTGCTACAATGATCCTGCTCGTAGCCTTATCAGTCCCGGGAGTGCTTTCGAAGTCCTTAAAGGTTCTTTCCTGCACTAAACAGTCTGGTAGCTTGTGGCCGGAAATACTTCTCGACAATGTCTTTAATATAGACTTGCAGAGATATTCGCCGGGTATTAGCCAGAATAATCTGATGTTTTAGTCGAGACTGCCTTCCTTCTTGCAGTGTATATAGGTGATGATGAATCGGAAATATAAGAACCTCTTAGCTGGCCGTGCATTCCCAAGAAACTTCAATTCTTTTCCGTCCAGGTCCTAGAAAGAGGTTAGCTAATTGCCCAGGCTCATTGAAAGAAATATTAGCTTACATCCCATGTAGTGCATGTCGCGTTGGCGCTGTCTTCGTTTGGAAAGCGCTTCATAACTGTTGTGTGTCGCATTGCTTCGTGGGCTAACACACACTTCCAACGCGAAGATGTCGTGACATCGAGCTCCACACCAAGATGTCTTGGGAGTGATAGCGGAACAACGCTGGAAAGCTCACTATCACGATAATCACGCTTGAGCTTGAATACCTTCATCACTTCCTTGCGTTCTTCGGAACAGTTTTATGTGATTTGGCGGCACTGTCAATCTCTTCCACCTTCTCGCCAAACTGGTGCTTGGTGATCTTTCGATCTAAGAAGTCCCTTGAGACAACGAGGAGACGGGCGTAGAAAGGTGCTTTCGCCGAACTGGAAACCGAAGTCATCCCATAGACCGTAGCATCCCGCTTAGAGCTCTTCTTGCGCTCATTGTGGATAGTTGCTCTATGACAGGTTAGCTCCGTAATATCAACATAGCAAGTTATATAAAATACTCACCCATATAGCCTAAAGCTTGGGTAGCCCCGAGCTCAATGTCCGACCTTTTTGCTTCGACAATCAGTACGTTGAGGCATAAAGTCTCGTCTTCCTCGTACCAGATCCCGTAGTCTAGCCGGGCTCCGAGGTACACCCTTTTACCCTTAAGCCTGACTGGGCCAAATTGGTAGGCTCTTTCTGTCTGGACGTTCAGGAATTGGCCGTATGGCAGGTCCTTCGAAACGATACCATGTGCTTCTAGCAACAACGCGTCGATGATCCGTCTAACACCTCAGTGCCAGTGTTCGAGCTATACCACATTAGCAATTTCACTCTACCTCTTCTTCTGATTCTTCTTTCGAGCTCCATACCTAAATGCTTAGGGATTGGCATAGGCATGACGTTCTCAAGTTCATTGTCCCGTGTGTCAACTTTGAGGTTGAAGGCTTTCAAGATTTCTTTGCGGGTCAATGAGGACAACGGAACAATCTTGTATGGTAAATTGGCCTCGCTGATATCGTGAACGGTCTCGCGAAGTTGACGTTCATCAACATTTCGATCCAGAAAGGCCTTGGTGGCAAGAATGAGTCGGTCGAAGAGATGTGGTTTGCTGGCCGACGCTTTGGTTGACATTTTGCGTTGCGATGGACTTCGTCTGAAAGACTGGTGAGATCTGAAAAAGTACTGGAACGCTGAAAGTAATCTGTCGGGGACTGACGACTGAGAAGAAAATGATAAGATGAAAGAAAAGAAAAGAAGAAAAGCAGGAGAAGGGACTATGGAAGGCAGAAAATCAACAAAGTTTACTACCTCCACTACGCAATCCACCTCATCTCGCCCTGCTTCCGGGACTTCTCAGTCTGTAAGCTAATAAGTTCTGGCTCAGTCGGGCTTTTGGGCCGTTTGGATTGTTGTGGTTGGGCTCCTTGGTAGTGCCGGCTTTATTATTTAGAGGCCAGCTTCTAAGGGCAATGATCCTGAGAATATCATGTAAGTAGTAAACCATGATTTTCATAGAAACTATATTGGCGGACCTTTGCCTATATATATATTAAGGCTAATATATCATAGAATAGCCCTAAAGATATTATTATAAGCGAGTAGGTCTACGAAGGGCAGGGTATTGATACCTATTCCCCTCCGATAAACCCTGAGACTCTAGAGACCCCTATACCCTCTACTATACCTAAGAAGAAGAAGATAAAGAAGAAGAAGCGGCTAACTACTATAAGATTTACCTATTTTACTACCTTAGCGCGTAATACTCTCTACTAGATAAAAGAGGGCTAGATAAATCAGCTACTAGTTAGAATAAAGTGGTGAGAGAGATATGTAGAAGGTTTTATTCTCTACAACGATCGAGATCTAGTCAAATAGCTAGGTGAAGCCTGGCAAACCAGGCAACGGCATGTGATCGGCACGTGGCGACCACAACAGTTAGGTATCCCATTGTAATGATTGTTCTTCGTACCCGAGGGATTGCATTTCAAGGTTATAGGGCTATCGCCTATTGGCCATGGTAAAGTAGATTGAGATATATCAATAATAGCGCATTATGATCAATAGCCTGGGATTGTGTAAACATTCAAATTAATCCACAGGCCAATTGAATGATTATACTGTCTGAATAAGTAATTTTCTATTCAGCTCCCAAGCTTCAACCTTGTTGGCTCCAGCTCATAAAAATCCATCTCCATAGCTAGTTCCTTGAGTAAGTTTCGTACACCTAGCTTTCTTTTACCTCAAATCACCCATCGACAGTGAGTATTTTGAATATTGGGAGCCTTGGATACTGAGAAGTTACTTATTCGGTATGTTAGTCCAAAATGTCGACTGAGCTTTCGACAACTGGTGGCCGGGGGGGGGGGGGGGGGGCCCACAGCCCGGCGGGCAAAGCATTATGTGGGTTGGGGGAACCCCAAAGTTATTGCCACCCCCAAACAATGAAA